AGCTGTGAAGAAGATCAAGTCAAGAGGAAAGTACAAAAACTCCTGGGCAGTGTGTAGGGTACACACTCTGTGTATGTACTTTGATTTGACTGTAATCAAAGTATGTGCACATAGAGAGAGATGCCTGGCTTTGCCTAGAAGGTTCTAAGAAAGACTTCCCGAATAGTTCCACACCTGTCTCATACTCTTCACTCAAGCAGACTTTTCCAGGTGGGTAAGAGGCTGGACCAGTTCGGTACAGAGCGTGGATGCATAAAGCATGAAGTATGTTTGTGGAATTGTTGCTTCAGTATGGCTAGGCTATGAGGTAGAAATCTGGGAAGTCTATGTTGTGAAAACTGGTGGTGGGGCAGAAGGAGGGGAAAGTCCAGGTGTGGGGAAGGGGTAAGCAGGACATGGAAGAATGAAAAAAGCCTCTGGAGAGGCCTCATGTGCCCTTTTTTAAGCCCTGGATGCAATTAAAACAAGTTGAAAATAGACTGAATTTGGGCAGCCTGACCTCTGGCCATGGACTACACACTGTCAATATGGGATTCAATATGCTTTTATGTTTAAATTCCAATCATCCATATTCCAGCTGTGGCCATAACATGAATTTCCTTCTGGGAGGAAGACAGACCAGAAGGCAGAGGTTCAGGCCTGGGTGAGAACAGCCTCAGCATGCTGAGCGGAAGAGATTGCCATGGGGCACACGGGGCGCACCCAGCACAGACTGTAAGGGATCAGGGAGGTCTGGAGGAAGGTCACTGAACTGACTCCTGGAAGAGAGGTTAGAGTAGCAAGGAAAGGCACATGGAAAGCAGGAGTCAGAAGCACGGGGAAGGACAGTGCCTGTGGTTTGCTGTAGTGATGGGTACCTGAGATCGAGCAGTGGCAAGAAGCAGGGCACGTCCCAATGCCAAGGGCTTTGAATTGCCTTCTGAGTGCCTTGTGGAGCCTTGAACACTGGGGCAGGAATGGATTTGGGTCTCTGAAAGAGGAGTGAGATGAAGAAAATTCCAGAGCCAGGTTACTTGAATAAACCAGGGAAACCAGAGAGTCCTGGAGCAAGAGGACAGTGACGCTAGGGAAGGTGCGAAGAATGCATTCAGCAGATGGTTAGGCAGCAAAGGCTGTGTCTCCGCAGGAGAGATACTGGAGAGAGGGAAGTTAAGGCTGATAGCATTCCAATGAAAATGAGCACAGCCTGAGGGCAGGGGGAGGGGCAGGAGAGTAGATCCCACAGCAGCCCAGTGAGAGTCTCAGGAGGAAGGAATCATTTGGGGCCAAATGCTGCACCAGAGGCCTTTGTGCTAACAGCCAAAAAGGGGAGACTGGACAAGTAGCTTGGGCGACAGAATGGTCGGTGTGAAGAGTCCTGACTAATGCTGCTCCATTTTGTAGGTGACTTTATTTTGTGAAAGACAGGTCACATCTGGGGGAGGTTGCGGGAGTTGCAGGGATTTGGCCAACATAGTTGCCAGGACTGGCCAGATGCTCCCGGCCAGTGGAAAGTGGACGGCTCACCCACCCGGCGGTCAGGAGTGTCGCTCCACCTGGAGGGAACCAGTCTAGGTGGTTGGTGAGCGGGTTGGTTGTGGTGAGGGTCAGGTCATATCTGGGCCCGGTCTGTGCACGGCCCGGTCTGCACATGGCCCGTTCTGCTCTGCACACAGCCCATTCTGCTCTGCGCATGGTCTGCTCTGCCCACGGCCCGCTCTACACACGACCCCATTCCTATGTATAAAAGAAGAATGAACTTGTATTTTGGGGTCTCCACCTGTGAGTGTGAGATCCCAGCATGCTGGCTACCCAAAAAATGCTCTTGCTTTTGCATCCACACGTCTCCCGGTTATTTGGAGGTCGACTTGCAATGAAATCATTTTACTGGAAGGTGAAAGCGGTTCAGAAGGAAGAAGTGGAGGCAGTGAGTACAGACCTCTATACAGGTCTGGCTGTGGATGGCCAGGGAGGGTCCGGGAGTAGTGGGAAGGACATGGGGTTGAGGGAGGAATTTTTTAAAGATGAAACTGGAGTATTTTTAAACGATGTCAATGGAAAGAAGAAAAAGAAAATAAACATACAACATAGAGAAGACATAATTGAAGAGCGACCCCAGGAGGCAGGAGGGGTGGGGACTAATGGCCTGGGGTTTGCTAGTCATTGACACCCATTGGAAACATGGTAACACTTCTTTTCAGACCAAGGAATGATGACTCAACACAAAATCGTCCTTTCTTTCCATCGCTCATTCCTTTACTTTCTCTAAACCTGCTACTCCGCATGCACACCTTCGGCCACCCGCCGCCCCGCCTTCTGAGGCTCCCAGCCAGCCAGTCCCCACTCCTCTCCACCCTGCAGGGACTGCCCTGAGCTTTAGGAGGCAGCCTTTCATGACAGGGCAGGAGTGTGGTCTTGTAACCCAGAGAAGCCGCCCCCGCCCCCTGCCTGGCAGTGCACTCTCTTACTCCCCACTAGGTCTTGGGAAACCTTCGCTACTTTTCTCAGTTCCTTATTCACAGAGAACAGGGTGCACACATGGATTGTTTTTTCCCCTCTGCACCCTCTTCCTCATTCTGTCACTTAGGTCACCCAGCCTTACCTAAACTTTTCATCAGAAGAGGACATTCTTCTTCACCCTCTGCATCCTTCCACCGATTAGCCAGACCACCTCTCCTTCCTCCTCTTCTTGTGACTTCTCTTCATTAGCCTCTTTCTCTTTCAAATTTTCTCTCTAGCCTACAAAGTCTAGCCATCATTCCCCCATTGCCGTTTATCATTCTTCAAATGTCATTTCAAAGAGATGTGTATTGCTTGTCACTCCCCCCACTGCAAGTTTTCCCTGTTAATAAAGTCCCAGTGAGATCCATATTGACTTCAGTATTTTCTAATCTTTTCCTTGCTGAATTTTCTGCTGTAGGCCAGAGGACTATGGGCCACGTCACAGATGCCTCCTGCACTGGCACTTCCTTCTGATTAGTGTCCTAAGCAATATGTGTCAGTGGCTTCTCCTCCATCTTCCCCTTGAATGCTCTTCAAGGAAACTGTGTTAACTTGCTGTCTGTCTGGCTGCCCTCAGTCACTCCCATCATGGTGCACCTGTTTACCCATGACTTCCTAACTCTCCCTCCTGCTTCAGGTTTTCCCTCAATACCACATCCATAATTTCAACTCTGTCCACATCCTCAGTTTCAGTGCTCCATGTGTCAGGAGGACTTCTTTGACAGCCTCTTTCATCCTTTAAGGTAATTAGGGCCTCCCTCTATGCTTCCACATACCTGGAACTATCTGCTCCCTTCAGGTCAGGAACTATGTCTTTTTTATCCTTATAGTCTTAGTTATCAGCCCTCAAAAGTATTTACTGAAAAAGTGCTTTATATGTTCATCAAACCCATTGTCAAAACTTGAGCTCATTACTGACTGAATCTGGACTATGCTGTGTTCCTCATTTAAATTAATGACATGCCATCTCTCCAGAGGAGCAAATGACAAATGGAGAGTCATTCTGTACTCTCTCCTTCATACCTTATATCTAGTTGGTCACTAGGTCTGTAGATTTTTCTTCCAAAATTCATCTCAAATCCCTTTTCTCTGCAACAACATTGACAGACTTAGTTGAGGCCCTCCTCATAGTCTTACTTCCTTTTTCTGTCTCCACTGTATCCCTTTGCGAAGTTAGCTTCCACGCTGCAGCTGTAGTTACCTAACACTCTGATCTTATGTGCTAAAGCCTTCAGTGGTTTCCCACTGCCTTCGGTATAAAATCCGGCTACCCAAGAATATACTGGGTCATTTTCATATGCCAGGAATAGACAAGGACTTTCACGTTCGCTGTCTCAAATTCTTTTCAGAAGTGCTCTTCGGAGTAGGTTTATTACCCTAACTTTACAGACAAGAAAATGAAACCTTTAAGCATAGAATTTACCCACATAGCTAGTAATGAGCAGAGCTTTGATTTGAACAGACTTTTATCTCCTCATTGCATCATTCTGCCTTCCACTCCTAATTGTGGTGAGCAAGACCCCTCTTGGTATCTCTCTGAATCTCCTTCTCTTTTCATTTCCTGCCATTCCTGTCTGCATGCGCCCTGGGTCCCATAATACCAGACTTCTACCATTTCCTCCATTACTCCATGCTTTTCTGCGGTTGCTTCACTATTTTGTTTGCCGTTTGCTGTGCCTTTCTCCTCCAACTTGTTGAACTTCTACATATCCTTCGAGACCCCTGTCAAATGGCACTTCTCCTGTTAGCTCCATGTGTGGCATATCTTATAATTATGTGGATTTTTATGCTTTTTGGCTACCTAAAGATTTTATTTATTAACACTTTTCTTTACATATTGTAATCATTTTTTTACCTTGTTCTCCTACTGTTCTATAGATGCTCCAGGAGAAGGGATCTGTTCTACCTCCTTTGTATACCTCTGTAGCTAAACAAAATGTCTGGCATCTAAAAGGTGTTCCATTCATGTTTATTAAATAATGAATTAATTGAACTGCATAGATGTCAAAACCAAAGTTTGACTTTTATCAGTGTATAATACACACGCAAATGGCCATCATTTAAAATACTGAGGCAAGTCTTACGTGTATAATGGCCCTGCAGTATATGCTTTGGATGACTACTTTCAGTTAGTATGAATATAGTTTGACAATTATATAATATAGCACAAAAACCAAAAGTATAAGAGAAATGGTTCATATCAAGAGTGAAGTCAAATTGTGCTTTTTGGCAGACTGGGACTTGCTTTATTACGTATTGATGTCACATTTTGGGGGGATGGAGTAAAGGAAGATTGTAAATAACTTGGCATTTTCTGTATTTTGCTTCCTTATATACTAAAAATATAATAATGCTATTATTACATGATAATCTATAGATGCTTAGTTTTTCCTTTAAGCATACTTGGATCCTTTTTCTCATATTTAGATTCAAAATACATTTCACTAGATTCTACTGAGGAAGAATTTCAGATATTCTGTTCTTATTTGTAATCAAAATGTAATATTCCTCTCTTTCAGCTAACTGGTGGTAGAGAAAGATTATTATATGAACTTGATTTGGAAAAATCATTAGTTCAAGATGTGGTAAGGTTATTTATATTATTTCCTAATAGATTTGAATGCAGAAGTTCAATTTAATCAAGAAAGTTTGGTAAACTTTATTTGAAACTGTTTACTGTGAACTCTTCATTTCATCTTTATCAAGAATCTAAATGTATGCATAATAAATATTTTTAAATGATCATTTTTAAGAATATAGTTTGAGTAGCATACTATATAATAAATATACTTATTATGTGGAGGAATTTTATGTAAGGAATAGTACTGCATTTTAAAGTAGTGTGTAACATTTTTCGTTTTCATTATGGAGATTAAAAAAAACATATGAGAGCCCAATATTTTTGAAGGATTTGTTATTTTTAGCTACAAATTGCCATAAGGGACAACAAAAAAAGAGCCCAGCTAGATATTTTGGCATTCTGTGTTAGTCTCATAAGAAAACACTGCCTTTTTATGTTCTTTTAAGAGAACTTTCCAGACGGCTGGTCTTTTATCAGTTGACTGCCCACCCCCAGGCCCTGCCACCTCACCCCCTGCCCGGCTTATGGTGCTACACTTGGGCTTTCAACTGATTGCCACTAGTATGTCTTTGTTACAGTAAACTGACTGTGTTTATTATAATAAAAAATAAAACACAGCTTGACTTGCGTTCTAAATGTGCTTGAAAAGAATATGATACTGTTTAGAAGAGAAAAGGTTGTTCATAGGAAATCAACACCACTTCAGATATTGAAACATGCCCTTTTTTACAGCTTGTCACACTTTGTGCCAAGTCATGACTGTTTCCCTAACTCTGTTTTGTTACTCTCAGCACCATGTGTTTTGGGTTCCTTGTCATAGAAATTAATGCAAAACAATGCTGGGGACTACAATAAAGCCTTCTATGAAACCAACTTGGGAATGCAGGCGACGAAAAAAATTATGGTTCACTATTCACAAAAACCATGCAAATATATTATTTGGAACCCTCTGCCCTCCACTTTTAAGTATCTGGCAAATAAAAATTTTCTCCATTATTTGAGTATACTTGGTCAATTTCATCTGTCCCACCCACAGCCTCTTCTGTCATTTCTCCAAAGTCCAGGAGTTGCTTCTGAAAACAAAGAGCTAAATGTGCACATTGCCATTAAAATTGAAAGTGTTTTTATAGAGTGGGAAGTAAAAGTGAGTTTGTTAGCAGTATTCGAGAAGAAATGGAACTACTTAATCAGTGAGTTTGTGCCTACACCATGAACAGGCCCCATAGTTTTCAAATTACTTTGCCTCTTTATTTGAACTGTACATGGTTAACCGGTGCTATTATGTTGCCCACAGGGGAACCAATCAAGTTTTACGTTGTTGTTTAGCAGTTTGCTGAGCACCACGCTTGTTGCCAAGCAGCAAGGTCTTGCATCACAAACCTCACGGCAGCCAAGTCTTCAGCATGCTCTGAACTTGTTTGGGGGTTCAAGTGTTCAGTAGAAAGAGTGTGCCCCAGGTTCTTCTTGTGACCAAAGTTTCCATGGCATGCTTTGGGCCCGTCAAGGTCGCTGTTTGGTGCGTCCTACCCTCCAGAGGCATTCTGTCAGTCACTCAGAAGGAGGCTGGTTTTGCGGCTCTGTGGTCTTGCTGTTTCTAGCCACAGTGCTTTCTCCAGAAATGGGGACTTCTGGACTGATGATTGCGCCTAGATGGAGGAGTGGGAGAATTATTGAGCAGAGCCATTTTATAAAAATTAAAAACTTTCTTTATGTTTTTAATTTCCCATGCTCTTCTAATTTCTCCATTATTTGAGTATACTTGGTCAATTTCATCTGTCCCACCCACAGCCTCTTCTGTCATTTCTCCAAAGTCCAGGAGTTGCTTCTGAAAACAAAGAGCTAAATGTGCACATTGCCATTAAAATTGAAAGTGTTTTTATAGAGTGGGAAGTAAAAGTGAGTTTGTTAGCAGTATTCGAGAAGAAATGGAACTACTTAATCAGTGAGTTTGTGCCTACACCATGAACAGGCCCCATAGTTTTCAAATTACTTTGCCTCTTTATTTGAACTGTACATGGTTAACCGGTGCTATTATGTTGCCCACAGGGGAACCAATCAAGTTTTACGTTGTTGTTTAGCAGTTTGCTGAGCACCACGCTTGTTGCCAAGCAGCAAGGTCTTGCATCACAAACCTCACGGCAGCCAAGTCTTCAGCATGCTCTGAACTTGTTTGGGGGTTCAAGTGTTCAGTAGAAAGAGTGTGCCCCAGGTTCTTCTTGTGACCAAAGTTTCCATGGCATGCTTTGGGCCCGTCAAGGTCGCTGTTTGGTGCGTCCTACCCTCCAGAGGCATTCTGTCAGTCACTCAGAAGGAGGCTGGTTTTGCGGCTCTGTGGTCTTGCTGTTTCTAGCCATAGTGCTTTCTCCAGAAATGGGGACTTCTGGACTGATGATTGCGCCTAGATGGAGGAGTGGGAGAATTATTGAGCAGAGCCATTTTATAAAAATTAAAAACTTTCTTTATGTTTTTAATTTCCCATGCTCTTCTATTACTGTTTTCCAATACTGTTTATTTTATGGCCTATTAAAAGCCTAGTTTTAAAAGTCAAAAGCTGGTATGAAAAAGGCATGGCTAAGAAGGTAAACAATGAAATATGCACCGATTATGTCCTTAGATGGGCTTTAAGAGGTGCATGTGAAATAATCTTTTATTTTCTTGCGATTCCTATGCTTAGTGGCTTTCATTCACCTTTTTATAACTGAGATATGATTGCCATATAACACTGTATCAGTTTTAAGTGCACAACAAAATGATCTGATGCATGTATATATTGCAAAATGATCACAAGTCTTGTTAACATCCATCTCTTCACATACTTACAATTTTTTTTCTTGTGATGAGAACTTTAAGATTTATTCTCTTAGCAACTTTCAAATATACAAGAGAGTATTGTTAACTATAGTCATCATGCTGTATATTATATTCCCAGAACATTTATCTTCTAACTGGAGGTTGTACCTGTGACCACCTTCACCCTTTTTGCCTACCCCCCACCTCCCACCTTTGGCAACCACCAACCTGTTCTCTGTATCTATTATAAATTCAGAGTATTTTAGACTCCACATATAAGTGATCATATGATATTTGCCCCCAAAAATGAACCACATGTAAACCTCACACTTTACACAACTCAGACTAGACCATAGACTTAAATGTAAAATGCAAAACCATAAACTTTCAGAAGAAAACATAAGAGAAAATCTTTGGGATCTAGGACTAGGCCAAGAGTTCTCAGACTTGATACCAAAAACTCCCCAAAAGGAAAGATTGAAATATTGGACCTTGTCATAGTCTGCTCAGTGGGTGTAAAATACCATACCCGGTGGATTCAACAACAGACATTTATTTATCAGAGTTCTGGAGGCTGGAAGTTCAAGATCAAGAAGCCAGCCATTTGGGTATCTGCTGAGAGCTGGCCTCCTGGACTGTGGATTGTCACCTTCTCCCTGAGTGCTCCCACAGCCCTGCCTGTGAAGAGGGGAGGAAGGAGGAGGAGGGAGGGAGGAAGAGGGAGAGTGAGCAACAGGGAGCTAGCTAACCTAACTAGCTAAGGACCTAATCTAAATCTAATTACCTCTCAAAGGTCACACCTCCTAATACCATCGCATTGGGAGCTAAAGCTTCAACATATGAATTTTGCAAGGACACAAGCATTCAGTGATAGAGTTCGGACAGGAGTACTGCCTTTTTGAATAAGCCCACCTGCCACCTCCGAGAGACCTAGGTTTCAATTTACTTAGGCTACAAGCATCCTCCAGAGGACACGTCAGCAAACCACAGCCCACCTTTTCCCTGACTCCTCCCCTCAAAAGCCTGCCAAAAACCTGGCCATAAAACACCTCTTAGCCTGCAAGAGACACCTTCTTTGTTCTGTTCACCAGAACAGAGGTGTCCCTCTCAGGTTTAGCAATAAACCTGCTTGGACTGTTGATTTCATGTCCCTTCTTTTCCTTTCATTCAGTCCATAAAAGACTTCATCAAAATTGAAGGCTTTTACTCTGTAAAAGCACATGTGAAGCAGATGAAGAGACAAGATATAGACTTGGAGAAAATATTTGCAAACTATTTATCTAACAAAGGACTAATATTCAGGTATATAAAAATCTTTCAAAAGTCAACAGTAAAAAAAAAATGCAATTACAAAATGGGCATAAGACTCAAACATTTTACTGAAGAAGCACATAAAAGATGCTCAATATTATTAACTAAAATCAAGGAAAATAATTGTATTAACCAAATTAATTAATTTATAACCAAAATCTTGCTGTATTAATTTCTCACTACAGACCTATCAGACTAATTAAAACTTTTTTAAAAATAGCACCAACAGGGAGGCACACCCAAGATGGCAGCATGAGTAGAGCAGTGGAAATCTCCCAAAACCATGTATATTTTTGAAAATACAACAAATCCAACTATTCCTAAAAGAGAGACCAGAAGACACAGGACAACAACCAGACTACATCCACACCTGTGAGAACCCAGCACCTCACAGAGGGGGTAAGATATAAGCCTTGGCCCGGCGGGACCTGAACACCCCTCACCCAAGCTCCCAGGGAGAGGAGAGGAGACAGAGCAGGGAGGGAGAGGGAGCCCAGAACTGCTAAATAGCCAGCCCTAGCCATCTGCACCAGAGTACAGACACACAGTGCATGGGGTGCTGGATACTAGGGAAACAGGACAGTAAGACCTGTGAGCAGGTCTCCATAGCCGGTACACCTGGCACAAAGAAAAGCGAGTGCTTTTTGGAAGTCTTAAAGGGACAGGGACCCCACAGCTGGACGAAAGAGTCCCGAGACACTTAGCCCAGCAGCTGGGAATCCCAGGGAACTCCGGACGCCCTAACCCCCTGGGCAGCAGCACAGCTCGGAGGTCCCTCATGGTGATAAACAGCCTCCCACCTGTTTCCCCTCTGACGCGGCTCCACCATATTGGAGCAGCAGAATGAGGCCGGCTACGCCCATAGCAACCATGGAGCTTAACTCCACAGTGTCCGGGCAAGAA